ACATTCCTCCTGCGCCCATTTTTATCGGCTGCAATTCGGGTGCGAAACCATTTATACGTATTTTTCACAAACAGTCCATTGAACAAGAACTTCTTTTTTAGCAGATGATACATTATTGTTCGAACCTTTCAAACACTAAACATAAGTATGCGTGAGTAATGCACTGGTAAAACAAGTGCTTAAACGTTTGGAAAGTGTGCAAATTCAGCACACTTGGTTGCAGACTAGTCTTAGCGATAGTTCAAAAAGCGAATAAAAGTTCTGTTTCGAGATGTTTTATTGGGATGGCAGGTGGGTTGTTAAGACAGGACCCTCGATTACTGCGATGATCCCTGCCCGAGACTCGCCGTGGTCAGCTCACTGGCCGATGGCTCGCAGAGCGGCGTCGGCGGTCAGGTCGGTGGCGTTGCGGCCGGCCTGGATGTTGATGTTGGCCGCCGACTCGGCCGCGTTGACGCCGGTATTCGCGAGGCCGACGGCGACGCTGGCCACCGTCTGGGCGGTGTCGATGCCCAGGTTCCCGAGCTGCTCACCGGCGTTCAGGCCGGTCTTGGCCAGGTCGGCGACGAGGCCGTTGCCCAGGGCGCCGGCGACGGAGCGCGCGCCGTTGATGCCGGTCTCCAGGGCGTTGCGGCTCGCGGCGATGGCGCCCTGCTCCACCCTCTCGCCAGCGTCGATGCCGGCGCGCGCCACCTTGGCGGCGGCGCCGGTCGCCTTGGCGCCCAGGTTGAGGCCGAGCAGGGCGGCGCTGCGGGTCGCGTTGATGCCCGCGCCGATCAGGCTCCCGATGTCCCGGCGCTCGCGAGGGAGGGCCGACGACGCCTGTCACGGGGTTGCAGGTAGATGAGATGCAATGGTGGCGTTAGTGACAGTTTAGCTTACCACGAACGCGATCAACGCGAAACATCGAAAAGTTGTGGATTTGGGGGACAAACTGACTTCTTTTTTTTTTTTTTCGACAATTTCGATGTCAAATAGTTCATTCCTCACTGGGTGTGCTAACCGACACTGTCTGCATCCAATCATAAGATTATTTGGCATCAACTTTTCTGTTAGTTGCATATTTAATGTACAACAATCCATATTGGGGTGCGGGGGCGAGAAGCCAGTGGAGTCAGAGTCGAGCTCACGCTGCCGTGGTCAAGCAAACCATGTTTTTGTTCAATTGCTGTCGACTCGTTGCTATCATGTTCTTATGTACTACTGAACACAGTATCTTACGAAGAACTGGTCTTTGTAACGTTCAGAGGATTTGACACCGACGTAATACAACCAAATCCTTTGTATTACGAAGGGATCGGCTTCGTAATACGAAGAGCACTTGTCTGTTAATAAGGTGGTACTCTTTTGTAGTACGAAGGAAATCCGTTTGTAATATAGCGGTTCCATAGTTCCTTCGTACGTTACAAACCCATAATGCTTCGTAATATGAAAGTCTGCCCTTCGTAAGGAATCTGAGAGTTCACCTGACAAACGGCTGCGACGAGGAGAACAACACTGAGCACTCTCATTTTGGCTGAGATCTTCCCTACAGACATCTAACCATGCACACCGTATCCTTTTATACACTGACTGCCAGATGTCAAACAAAATCAAGGCGTGGAAAGACAAATAGCAACACAGGTGGGAAGATGTTTCCTCATAGCCGACTAAGTCAAAGACGGCTCTACACGCGTTTGTAAAGCTGACACAGATCTGTAGTGAATTTTTTGCGTTTTCTTTTTTTTGTCATTGTAAACGTTAGAATTCTCCACAGCACGAACTACCGATAAATTTATCAACTATTCCGTATTGGTCGTTATAATTCTTCCTTAATTTAAGTGTCTTTTAAAAATATGCTCAGCCTTAAGTATGTCATACTTCGACTAGTGATTACAAAGGAGTAGGCAAACCCGCTCACACCGGTGCATGCAAAGAAACACCCGGTGCATGCAAAGAAACGGCCGGTTCACTTTCGGTAATCCCAATACTGTTGCGCATGCGTTCACCAGCTGTGCATATATGGCGATGCGCTGCTTGTCTATGCCAGTAGTGACATGGCATACTGTTTAAACAGAGTACAATGTATAGTTAAATAGTGGACCTTAGGCATAAGGTCCACCATAGGGTCCACCGAAAAGTCCGCCATGAATGAGGTCCACCATGAGGTCCCCACCATCAAGTGCCTACCGGGTCCTCCAAGAGGTATCCCGCAAAGTTTGCTCTCCTCAACAAGGTCCCCCACCCCACCCCACAAGGTCTCCCATAAGGTCCCGCATAAGTTCCCGCATAAGGTCCCGCATAAGGCCCCGCATTAGGTCCCTCATAAGGTCCCTCATAAGGTCCTCCATAAGCAGGTCCCCCATAAGGTCCCCCATAAGGTCCCCCATAAGGTCTCCCATAAGGTCCCTCATAAGGTCCCCCATAAGCAGGTCCCCCATA